TATATATATATATATATATATTGCTTACCTTAAGGAGGAAACTGCAGTAGGCGGGCGCATCTAGGAAAATGGAATAAATATGAATTGAATTCTTTAGAATAATGCAAAAAAATACAGACAATTAACTTAAATTAGTATAAAGTTAATTATTTGAAGCGAACTTGAGCAGAGTTAACTCGTCGTAGAAACGTGAATGGTCTAGTGCAGTGTCTGTCACGGACTGTGTAAGGATTCTCTAGGAAATAAGATGTATTTGTTTTTAAAGAAATATTTTACGTAAGTTTGACCCTATTTTAATTAATAAAATTAAAATTTGTTGGTTTAGTTGCTTGAAGAGGCAAAAAATAGTGTTCTGTTCTGCAAGGATTTCACAAAGAAGACCGAAGCCACAGCTACAGTTTCCTACACATAGAATTCAGAGATATGCCGCTTATTTTATGAAGAATCTTCCTTCTTTCTTCTATTTTTCGGTTTAGTTTGTTCATTAAATACAAGTAATGAAGGAAAATAACTCAATTTAAACTGCTTTCCTTCGTATTCCCTCTCTGTGTTCGATACTACCGGGCGGCGCTAGCAGCCGCTGGGTCATTCAACATCTCGGCGAAGGTTGGTGAAGAATTTTGAATTTTCAGGAGTTAATTTCAATTATTTAATTAGTATATTTGATTAAAAACAAGCGAAATTTATTAGAAGAATTTATTAAGGGAAGAAATGGCCGGTGAAGCTTGAAGCAGCTCTCTGGTTCTTCTACTGATACTGCTCGGTATTTGTTTGAAGTTATCTTCGAATAATTTCTTTCTTCTCCCTTAATTGCAAATACATACCTCAGCTTTCTTCTTTAACTGCAAATAATACTTTGAAGCTTCTTCTTTACCTTCTACTAAGGTGGGCAATTCTTTGCATACGCACGCAAAGAAGAAGTACTTCTCCTCTTCTTCTTCTATCAAAAGACTCTATTTGGAGACTTTCTCTTCACCTCTCTTATCGGCTAAAGCAGCAACGTTGTTTCTGTTGTTGCAGCGGCAGCAGCAACAACTGCCTACGCTGCAGTACAAACCCCTGAGAAGTATTTGCATGCAGTAACTGACCGTCTGTACACCGCAGCATTGAGGGGGCCTCTGGTCCTCACCTTCATACGAAAGGAGGAATTTTATTATTCAGAACAGCAGACACTTCCTCTAGAACATTCTCGCGATAGTAGGAGTAGTAGTAGTACTACGACTACTACTGCTGCTGCTGCTGCTGCTGCTGCAGCTGCTGCTGAGGACTCCCGCCGCCACGACGGAGCTCAGCCCACACGCGGATCTTTAGGAAGGAATGCTAGACGGGAACGCAGCAGAAGCAGGATGAGGGGCAGCAGCAGGAGCAGCAGCAGCAGCAGCAGGAGCAGCAGAAGCAGCAGAGGCAGCAGCAGCAGCCGAAGCAGCAGGGAGAGTTTTAGCGGCAGCAGCACCTTGATGGAGGGCCAGCTGCTGCGTCATTTGTATGGATCGCAGCAGCAGCAGCTGAGCCTACGGGAAGCAGCTGCAGCAGCAGCAGAAGAAGCAGCAGCAGCAGAATCAGAATCAGGAGCCTCTTCCGACACCGTGTATTCTTCAGACAGTTTAGATGAGAGGAGTTTCAGCCCCATGCCTTCGAAGCAATCATCACGCTGGGAGGAGGAGGGCTCCTCCAGAGATGACAGCAGCAGCAGCAGCAGCAGCCGCAGCAGGAGCAGCAGCAGCAGCAGCAACTGCAGCAGGCAACCCTCGAAAGGGGCTTTTCCTAGGGCCTCTCCTCCCACTCGCGCGGAGCTTCCCCTAAGAAGACGCCGCAGCAGCAGACGCAGCACTGTTAGGGGGTTGCGGCGACTGCAGCAGCAGCAGCAGCAGCAGGATGGAAGGAGCAGCAGCAGAAGCAGCAGGAGCAGCAGGAACAGCTGGTCAAAAGTCTCTTCAGTGAACGCCGTAGGCAGTGAAGACGCCGACCCCAGCAGCAGCATCAGCAGGCGCAGCAGCAGCATCAGCAATCGCAGCAACAAAGCAAGCAGCAGCAGCAGCAGCACCAGCAGCAGAATGGCTGGCAGCGACGGAGGCTCTTCATTTGACTCTGCTCCTGAAGAGGAGGACAACAAGCAGCAGCTTCCGTCGTCCCCTGCAGCAGAAGATGAAGCAGCAGCAGCAGCAGCTCCTGCAACAGCAGCAGCAGCTCCTGCTACATCAGCAGCAGCAGACGCAGATGCTGCTGCTTTTCTCCCTGTGCCGGCTGCTGCTCAGCGTCTGCTGTCTGCTGTGGGGTTTGGCATGTGGGGCTTTGAGGCCGCGGAGTCTGCAGCAGCAGCAGCAGCAGCAGCAGCAGCAGGTGACGACGCATACGAGGACAGCACGTTGCATTCAGACAGCATGCAGCAGCAGCAGCAGCAGCAGCAGCAGCAGCGTGGTGCTGCAGAGCCAGGGAGTCGTACAATCAATGAAGTTAAGACTTCTTCTTCTTTGCTGCCTGTTGATTACTTTCGTCGATTCCCCGTGGGATGTTTGCAGGGTATATTTTGTTTTTTAGAAGCTGAAGAAATATTAAAGGTTTCGGGTGTATGTGCAGCTTGGCGTGCTGCTGTACACAACTCTTTAGGAGCCTTTCAGAAGGTTTCTGCTGTTAGGCTTGAGGGAGTGTGGCTGCGGCTGGGGGAGAGAGAGAGGCAGCAGGCGTTGCTGCAGCTGCAGCAGCTGCACCAGCTGGAGGTTCCTGCTGCTGCCTTCGCCCCCACAAACCACAACACCAGCAGCAGCAGCAGCAGCAGCAGCAGCAGTAAGAGCAGCAAGAGCAGCAGCAGCAACAGCAGCAGGGGTGTGCTGCTCATGGAGGAAGTTGCTGCTGTTGTTGCATCTAACAGCAGCAGCTTGCGCGTCTTAGAGCTGCAATCTGCAGAATCCCCTTCTTTAAATTGTTCTTCATCTTCTTCTTCGTCTTTTAATGCTCTTTGCTCATCTTTAGGAAGGCCCTTTGCTCTAAGGCCTTTGACCTTCTCATCTCTTTATCGGCTGTCTATTTCAGGTGTAGATACACCGCGCTGGCTGCATGCACTCAACAACTGCAAATTTCCTAAACTTAAAACTCTCAGAGTCACCTACTTCCCCCCTTCACCAACGCACTGGTCCTGGAAGGTAAACCCTAAACCCTAAACCCTAAACCCTAAACCCTAAACCCTAAGCCCTAAACCGTAGGCATCGGGGTTTGCATGCAGAGTACGTTCAGCTCTGCAGCCTGAAAGCTTGCGAGGTGTTGTCATTGCTACTGCTGTTTCTGCTGTTTCTGCTGCTTCTGTTGCTGCTGTTGCTGCCGTTGCTGCTGCTGCTGCTGCTGTTTGTTGTGTGCAGGTCTTCCCTGACTACACGCCTCTAGCAGTGAGGGGTTTGCAGCGGATGCTGCGAGAAATGCCTGCGCTTGAAAATCTTACGTTGGGGTTGAGTGTTGCTGCAGAACCACCAGAAGAAACAAACCAGCAGCAGCAGCAGCAGCAGCAGCAGGAACAGCAGCAGGAGCGAGAAACCGCTGCGCAGCAGCACCCTTCTACCAGCAGCAGCAGCAGCAGCAGCAGCAGTAGCAGTAGCAGCAGCAGCAGCAGCAGCAGCAGCAGCAGCAGGAGAGTGACGGACTTAGGGGGAGGCTGGCGTTATGAAGAAGATGAAAGTTCTATAGGGGGCCCCCCGTGGGAGGTGTGGGGGCCCCCTGCTGCTGCAGTTGGAGGGGGGCCCCCCCCCTATGGAGGCTCACACTCTGCGTTTGCTGCTAAGAGAGGACGCATAAGTGAAGCAGACCTCAGCGATATTTTTGCTGTTGTCTACACTCGTGCTGCTGCTGCTGGAAATCTTAAAAGAATTACTTTCATTACAAAGCAGCAGACGCAAGAAGAGGGGCCCCAGCACTCCCTCAGCTTGCTGCAGCAAGACACTACACCTCTTGTTGATGCCGTCTCTGCTGCTGCAGGCTTTTGCTTCCGATACGTCAGCAGCATATTCGGACAGCAGCACCAGCAGCAGCAACAGCATGAGCTGCAGCACGAACTGCAACTAGAGCAGCAGCTAGAGCAGCAGCAGCAGCAGCACCAACCGCAAGACACGCAGCGCTGAAGCATCAACGCAAGCAGCCGTACCAGCAGCACAGTTACACCAGAAACAGCAGCAAGAGCTGCTGTTGCTGCTGCTGCTGCTGCTGCTGCTGCTGTTGCGTACAGACATTGTTTGTCTTTCTCAAGAGAAGGGGACCCAAACAAACAGATTTAAATGCAGACTGAATTAGAGAGAAAAAGCAAAATGCTGCAGCCATTTGCTGCCGTTGCTGTTGTTGTTGTTGCTGCTGCTGCAGCAGCAGCAGCAAGTAAAAGGGTTCGATTAATCATTCCGATTAGTGGGTTTGATAAGTGCTCTTTGCCTGGGGTTTATAGGCAGCTGATCGCAAACCCTAAACCCTAAGCCCTCAATTAGGGTTTAGGGTATAGGGTTTAGGGTTTAGGGTTTAGGCCTTGCGCCGAAGATAATTTCAGCAGATGGCCCTGAGGCTGTTGCATAGAGCGGCACGACGCTACGGCCCGAGGCAGCTCTGCAGCACACACACAAACCCTAAACCCTAAACCCTAAACCCTAAACCCTAAAACCCTAAGCCCTAAAACCCTAAACCATAGACCTTGAATGAGATGATAACCCTCACCTAAAGAGGCGGTCGTACACCGCAAGGCCCTCTTCCCCCAACTCTGCCAGGGGCTCTGCATGCAGCAGCACCACCACCTCCTGCTGCTGCTGTTGCTGTTGCTGTTGCTGTTGCTGCTGCTTTTGTAGCCGCAGGGCTGTCTCCTCTGCAGCATGAAGAGCAGCGAACACCTTTCTAGCTGCGTTAGCAGCAGCATCAGGAGACGCCTGCCCCTGCTGCTGCTCTTGCTGCTGCTGCTGCTGCTGCTGCTGCTGCTGCTGCTGCTGCTGCTGCGGGTTTGTGAGGGATATGTAATGACAGAAGTATTTAGCAATAGAATGAAGTTCAGCGTTGGAGTCGATTAAAATGCAGCGGCTTGAATTATATAAAGAAGAAGGGGCCCCCCTATCTTCTCCCCCTGTAACACTGCTGCTGCTGCTGCTGCTGTTGCTGCTGCTGCTGCTGTTGCTGCTGTTGCTGCTGCTGCTGTTGATTGACTGCAGCAGCTGCATGCATAGGGAGGAGTTGTTGAGTAAGAATGAAGGGACAGAAGGAGAGTAATGCGTCAAACAAAGCCCTGGGCTAATCATCGCCGCAAGATTATTATTTAAACTTTGTTTATTATTTAAATTATTATTTAAATTATTATTTAAATTATTATTTAAATTATTATTTTTGCGTTTTGTTTGTTGCTGCTGATCTCCTTGGTTTTCTCCTTTTCTTTTTTTATATTCGATTGAAGCAGCAACAGTCACGATACACCTGGGGAATGCTGCTGCTGCTGCTGCTGCTGCTGCTGCTTCTGCTGCTGTTGCTCCCTCTGCTGTTGCTGCTGCTGCTGCTTTTGCTTCTGCTGCTGCTGCTGCTTGCTGAAGGGCTTCTTCAATCATTGTGCAGCAGACTACCCCTCGTCTCAGAACCTGCACTTCTACTTCTGCTTTGTTTGCTGCTGTATCTTTATTTATTTTATTTATTTTATTTATTTTATCTTCTTCTTCTTCTTGTTTTAACATAATCTTCACAACTGTAGACTCTATACCCACAAAGCAGCACTCCCCCCCATCAAGCAAAGGCAATTCATACACATTCTCCTCTTGCTGCTGCTGCTGCTGCTGCTGCTGCATGTGGAGTTGCTTGACAACGTGCTGCGGCTTCGTTGGAGATATTCTTCCGAAGCGATTAGCTGAGGGAGCAGCAACAGGAACTGCAGCAGCAGCAAGCAGAGACAGCGCAAGCGGGTGGTGCGGCACCCTAACTGCAGCAAACCCTGTGCCCCCCGTTACTTCCTCTACAACACCGCATACGCTTTCTTTGCTGCTGCTGTTGCTGCTGCTGCTGCTGCTGTTGCTGCTGTTGCTGCTGCTGCTGTTGCTGCTGCTGCTGCTGCTGGTGCATTCTCCTTTGCTGCTGCAAGGAGGTGATTGGGGTTGTATATACCCCACAGAAGATGAAGAAGCACCGGTTGCTGCTGATGTTGCTGCTGCATCTGTTGCTGTACTTGCTGCAGTTGCTGCTGCTGCAGCAGCACTTTCTGAAGGTAATTTGCGTTGTTTAGCGATGATGCTGAAGGGCCCCGGCCAGAATGCCTCTGCTAGAGCCATGAAGACAGCCCTCAATGCCCCCTTCTTCCTTTTTGCTGCTGCTGCTGCTGCTGCTGCTGCAGGTGCATCTCCTGCTGCTGCTGCTGCTGCTGCATCTGCTGCTGCATCTGCTGCTGGTGGATCTGCTGCTGCAGCTTCTTCCTCATCTAAATCAACAACTTGAGTGAGAGCCTGCTCAGCAGACACCACATGACATATAAGAGGGTCAGTAAAGGGCCTCTGCTTTAACTGAAAGACAGAGCAGCAGCCTTTGCTGCTGCATGCAGCAGCTCCCAGACCGTAGACAGTCTCTGTAGGGAAAACTACGCAGCCCCCTGCTTGCAATCGAGCAGCTAAATGACGAATTGTAGGGTGTACAGACAGCTCCGCTATGGTGCTATACGACAACGACCTGCTGCTGCTGCTGCTGCTGTTGCTGCTGCTGTTGCTGCTGCTGTTGCTGCTGCTGCTGCTGGGGGAGGGGGGATCAGTAAGCCCAAGGAGAGACTGCAAGGCTCTGCTTTTAGGCTTCAATTGAATGCCTGGGTGAAGAAAGCGCGAGGCGCTGAGGGCCTCCTCTAGTTGAGGTGTACAGACACCGCAAGTGGGCCCCACAGGGGGTGGCGTATGCAGCACAACGCGAATGAGGGGAGCTGCTGCTGCTGCTGTTGCTGCTGCAGAAGCAGAAGCATGCTCTGCTGCTGCTGTGGCTGCCGTTTCTGCTGATGCTGCTGTTGCTGCTGCACCTGGGGGCCCCTGGTGAGGCCCTGGGGCCTCACCTGCTGCAGCCGCCGCAGCAAGCATGTCGCTCCTGTGCTTAGGGCTAGAGAGAAAAGAAGCTGCAGCAAGATCAGCAGCAGCAGCAGCAGGAGCAATTAATAAGAAGAAATAACTAAAGAAGAAAAGATAATGCAATTAACTTTAACTACAGCACAACCCATCGGTTCGAAGCAGAAGGCAGCAGTAGCAGAGAGAGGCGCAGCTCTCTTCCTTCATTAATGAAAATAAATAAATATTTATTTATTTATTTACCTTTTTATTTACTTACGCTGAAAATTATCCTATTATTTCGTTGCCAGCCATGAACGCAGCAGCAGCAGCAGCAGCAGCAGCAGCAGCAAGTCGTAGGGGGGCCCCCACCCCAATGTAGCTTCACGGGGCTGGGGCCCCCCTTAGAGGGCCCCCTGTGTTTTTTGCTGTTATAATGCGTCTTTGCAATGATAGCTATGATATATCGGAAGGAAAAGAAATAAAAATAGAATGTTTTTTATATATTTAGGGGTTTGTCGTGGGGCCGCAGCTGCTGCTGAGGTGTCTGTACACCTCAGCGGTGGTTGGGGGTTTGCGGGTATTCATAGTAATAATTGTCTTCTTAATTGAATTAAATATTATTTTTGCAGTTTCTTTCGGCTCATTTTCCGTTCATTATCCCCACAGACAACCTTCGGCGTCTGCTGCTGCTGTTGCATCTGCATCTGCTGCTGTTGCTGCAGCAGCAGCAGCTGCTGCAGCTGCAGCGCGACTGACTGCTTTTCCTTCGTGTGTGTTTCATTTGTCTTGTTTTTGTTTTAATTTAAATGCCTCGCAGCTCTAGCTTCTTCGAGGGGGCCTCTGCCTCTGCTGCTGCAGTTGAGCAGCAGCAGCAGCAGCAGCAGCGTGCTGCTTCCCCTGCACGCACTGCACGAAGCGACGGAGTGTACGTACAGCCCAGATCCGATGGTATACACTCCAAAAGGATGGAGACGGGCGTACCCCCGAACCGCAAATCTTCTTCAGTCTTTCAAACCATTAAACAAAATCTCTTAGCCTCCTCTCAACCTTCTGTTTCCAGGAGGCCTTCAAGGGGCTCTGTGGGGGGCCCCTCTTCTATCCCAGCCTCAGGGGGCCCCTCAAGGGGCCCCCGAAGCAGTCTATTGGAGTCTGATCTTGCTGAGCAGCTGCGCTCTCTAGAGGTCAGTGGTGTTACGGGGGGCCCCCAGGTGAACAAAGGGTATATAGACGGGATAGGGGGGCCCCCTGAGGGGCCCCCTACTCCTTTCTCAGCTAGATCTGCTTCACGTGTTTGCTGCTCGGCTCCTCAGCATCATAGACGCAGATTGAGGGCCCCCTCGAGAGGCCGCTGGGGGGCCCCTAGAGGTGCTGTAGAGGGCCCCTCTACTTCTTATGCATGCCAGTATGAAGATGCATGGATAGATTCTGCTGCTGAATTATCTTTTTCTAACCAGCAGCAGTTGCAGCTGCAGCAGTTGCAGCTGCAGCAGCTGCAGTTGCAGCAGCAGCACTTGCAACAGCACTTGCAACAGCAGCAACAGCAGCAACAGCAGCAGCAGCAGCAGCAGCAGCAGTTCGATGCTGCATTGTCTCCTTCTTCTATTGCTGGGCCTTCGCCTGGCTGCAGCGAAGGCGCTGCATTTTCCAGCCCCAGGGGCGCTGAGGAAGCAGACCTGAGCACAAGTGCTACCCTCCCCGCAGAAGCAGCAGCAGCAGCAGCAGCAGCGGCAGCAGCAGCAGCAACAGCAACCGCAGCTGCAGAGCATCTACAGCAGCAACGGCGCCAGCAACAAATGGAAGAGCAACAGCAGCAACAGCAGTTGCAAGTGCTGCAGCAGCAGCAGCAACAACAACAAAAGCAACTAGCAGCAGCAGCAGCAGCAGGTGCTGGCGTAGGAGTTGACTCGAAGGGTTTAATGCATGCAAATACATCTGGGCGTGTGTGGGGCTGCATCTCTTCAATATTTTCTTTATCTCGTCTGTTTCTTTCTTCTTCTTTATTGATGGTTGGGGGTTTATCATTATCTTTATTGTTTTACTCCCTGCTGACGGATATAGCTCGACAAGAAGAGCAGCGACAAGCAGCAGCAGCAGCAGCAGCAGCAGCATGTCGCCAGCGCCACCGGGAGAACGGCTGCGAAACCCTAAACCCTCTGCCTCCTTTTCTTCAAACCCCTTGTGAAGAGTGGAGGAGCTGCTTCCTAGCAAGCCCAAGCCAGCACGGAGAGACAACAAAAGTAGCAGTGCAGGTCTTAGCGCAGGTCCTCAATGCCTTCTTCCACAGCCTCCAGTGGTACGACACTCTACAATTTAGGGTTTAGGGTTTAGGGTTTAGGGTTTAGGGTTTAGGGTTAGGCTCTAGGGTTTGGGAGATATTGTTGGGTGTGTGCAAATTGAAACTTAGGGTTTAGGGCTTAGGGTTTGGTGTTTATCGTTCGGTCTGTGCGAGTTGAAATTTAGGGTTTACGGCTTATTACTGGGGGTTTAGGGTTTAGGGTTTAGGGTTTAGGGTTTATTGTTGGGTGTATGTGGGTTGGGGTTCAGGAGGACTCTGGTGGCGGTCGTTGCATTTTTCTGGTTGGCAATTTATGCTGTAAAGGAGATGCGCCATTCGTTTGCTGCAGCTTCTCGCAGGGGCCCTGCATGCGCAGCTTGTGATAGCAGTGGGGGGCCCCTGATGCAGCAGCAGCAGCAGCTGCAGCAGCTGCAGCAGCTACAGCAACAACAGCAGCTGCAGCAGATAAGTCAGTACAACCCGATCGCGGCGCCTTTTCAGCCCTACTTCCTATCGCTGGGGCCTGAGCAGCAGCAGCTGCTGCTGCAGCAGCACCAGCTGCAGCAGCAGCAGCAGCAGCTTCTGCAGCAGCTGGAATATGAGCGGCAGGTGATGAGACAGCAGATCCTCAGGGGAACGGCGCGTTCGCTGCTGCTGCAGACGTTAGAAAGGCAAGAAGCAATACAGCGTGAATTAGCCTTCTTCTTTAACGCTGAGCAGCAGCAGCAGCTGCAGCAGCAACAGCAGCAGCACCTGGAGCAGCAGCAATTCGAGAGCTGCGAGCAGTGCATGCACAGCAGCGGTAAACGGAGCTCCAAGTCAGGGTTTTTAAGGGCCCTTCTGAAGAGTTTTGTTTTTAAGTTTCTGCTGGTGCTGTGGGTCGGCTATGCATTTGTAGTGGGGTGTATGTACACCTGGAGAGACAGCTTCTTCGTGCAGCAGTTGCAGCAGTGGAAGGGGGTCATACTAGAAGGCGTATGAAGCCTTACAGATTATAGGCGCCCAGGGTCTTCCTGGAGAACATCGCACAAACCCTAAACCCTAAACCCTAAGCTTTCAAAAGCTCCAGGACGCTTGGACTAACTTCTGCAGGCCGAAGTGTCTGCCAACCAAAAGAGGTTTAGGGTTTAGGGTTTAGGGTTTAAGCTCGTTAAGAGAGCTGAGGATTCGTGGCTATTGAGTCCAGCGGCGGGCTTGGCGGCTTAGTGGCGGTTTAGGGTTTAGGGTTTAGGGTTTGCGCGAAGCTCAAAACCCTCACCCGTAGAACTTGAGACAACGGATGCCTCAACACAGTGGGAGTCTTGGTGTATATACACCTCAGAGTGTCTGTTCGCTGTTTGCTGGGGGAAGAAGCAGAAAAGTGATGATGCTGGCACTTAAACATTCTTGTCTTATTGTTTTCTTAATATTACCTTCTAGGTTTTCTTCTCTCGCCTCTTCAGCTTCTTCTTCTTCGCGTTTTGCTTGTCTTTCTTTGTCAATTATATGCTGGATCTCCTTTTTGTGTTTCTCTGCTTCCTGCAGTGCATGCTTGTGCTGTTTTCTGGCTTCTTTTAATTCTTTTTGTTCTTTTTTAAGTTGCTTCTCCCTTTGCGTCATGTGGGCCTCGGAGAGGTGTTGCTGACGAACAGCTGCGGCCTCCTCTTCTTCTAGGGCAGCCATTTCTTCTGTCGCCTTTTCAGCGATCTCTTTTTTGGCTGCTGCATGACGACGCCTCTCTCCGTCAATTTGTTGCTCTGCTGTTGCTGCAGCGGCTTCTGCCTCCTGCAGCTGCGCACCCAAACCCTCAAGCTTTTGAGAGAAATTGTCTGCATGCATACGTTCGTTGGCTGCGTATGCCTCCGTCTTAGACTGTAATAAGTCGTGCCCCGCGTGGGCGTTTCGATTAACCTGACGCTTAATGGCGTCCGACAGAACCCGTACAGATTCGCTAGGCAGAAAAAGACAGAAATATTCGTTCAGCTTGGGGTGTAAGAAGAAGATAAATAAGTGATCTCCCCTCAAACATAACTTACCCGTAAGGGTCTTCCTCTTCAATAACAACTGGTGAACGAGAAACAGCACTTTGAGCTTGAATTTGGCGGTGACTTCCTGCACTCGCGTGCCGTAAGGGTGCGCATGTTTGCAAGTTCAGAAAGAAAAGGGAAAACAGAAAGAAATAGCCGACGGAACCGGAAAAGAGTTTCATGATTCAAACGCAGTTAGTCACATTCATATAAAAAGGCCTTTGAAGACAGGCCTAATCGCAGAATTCCAAGAATTCACATTCTGAACGGTTTCAATTGCTTCTCATTCGCAGAGCTGCCGATACACCTGAATTGTGCAAACTTGTTGTGCGGCGTTTCGGGGGGGAAAGGCGGCTGCTGTTTTTTCGTCTGTTTGAGCTGTAGTTTAGATACAACTGCTTTTCAATTGATATTAATTAAGTAAAGCACCGGTATTTCGTAGCAGTTTTTTCTTTTTCTCGCCTGCTTCGTCTCGGCGACCGCAGCCGAAACGGACGAATTTGAACTGCAGCTTTTCATCATTTCATGGATTAGTCGGCTACTAAAATCATTTTGTGTGTACTTAAGTACGGCTGATTAACTCGTTTATCTTGTTTAATGCATTTATTAAACGAACGCTCTCATTCCATTGATGTGTTTGCGAACACCTGAAGAGAAGATCCTCAATAACTGTTCTACTGACGAGTTTTTGAGATGCTGGTTCTCCGTTCTTGACGGCCCAAGGCCTGCAGATTTTTGTATATTAACAGGAGAGAAAAGACAGGTTTGTTATATTACCATTTGTTTGTCTCGGGATACGTGGTAAGCAACGCCTTGCGTGTCTGCTGCTGGCAGGTTTAAACGGCCCTCGTTTCCCCCTCTTTTCCCCTCATTTAGTGCTTATTTAAATGTAGCAGAGTGCAGAGATGAAGGCCAATTGAAAGTTGAATTGCTGCTGCTTCATCTCGTAAGCGAACGCATTCAAAGGAGCGGGGGGTTGCTTAATGTGCTTGTATTTGTTTGTGTATTTATATCGGGAAGGTAAGCATAATGAAGCTGTGAGCCTCCAGAATAAATAAACCCTTTTTTTATTTCATTGAATATAATGAATTCAGAAAGAAGAAGCTTACCAGCAAACAAACACCAGAAAACGGATGCTGCGGCGGCATGCGGGTCAGGGCGTTTGTTCAGTTTTGTGTGAACGCCTCAGGAGAAGAAGTATTGAACAGCTTAAGAAATAATTCTCTTTTCTTCTTAATTACATTTTATTTTATTTATTCTACTTATAAATTTACACTAACATCTCTCACTTAAGCCAACGGGCACTGCTACTTTAAACCAACTGGGCCGCGCCTCTTCTTCAGGCCGCAGACCCCCTATTACCTCCTTCAATACTTCTCCTTTTCTCTATTTCTCCTCAACTTCATTTGCTTTAAACTCCTTACAAACTCACTAATGGCCCAACACCCCCTTATCCTCGCAACCTGCAGCAGCGCAGCCTAAGAGGGGCCCTCGGCCCAGCTCCCGGTGGTTTAGGGTTTAGGGTTTAGGGTTTAGGGTCTCCTGGAACTCCATACAGAGAAACACGTGTACAGAAAATCTCTCCTTACCCTGAAAAGGGGCTCTGCGCCTCTCTTCCCGTCCTTCGATTTAGGGTTTAGGGTTTGGTGTTGAGGGTTTAGGGTTTAGGGTTTAGGGTCTGAGCTGTTTCTCCTTATCCCCCTTGAGTAGAAGCTTTTGCACTTCTTGTCATGAACCAAGAAGGGCCCCCGTGCAGCTAATGAATTCTCGCTGCTATCCTGAGGGGCCCCCCACGGAGGGCCCCCCCCGAAGTTCCGTTTCTTGCACCCCAGCAGCAGCAACAGCAACAGCAGCACCAGCAGCAGCAGCACCAGCACCAGCAGCACCAGCAGCAGCAGCACCAGCACGCGGATTGAGCAGCTCGGAGAGGCGCTTGAGAGGTGTGCCTTCAGGTGTCTGTGAGGCCCCCCAGGGGGCCCCCAAGCCAATCTTGAGGTCTCAGGGCTCTGAAAGAGAGGGGCCCCCGTCTGGGCCCCCATCTTCGAGCCGTTCTCAGGCGGAGGGTTTTGAGCTTCCGTTGCTGCTGCTGCATGGGGGGGCCCCCAGGGGCCCCCCGGGGGCCCTCAGTGGTCTAGAGGCCCCCCCAGATGATGAAGACTGGCAGGCGGAGGTATCAGCTTCTGTTGCTGCTGCATTTCGAGATATGCGAGGCAGCATGTTCTTATCCAGCAGCAGCAGCAGCAGATCATCACGGCTAGGCCTAGGAGACGCGCTGCTTTGCGGGGGGACCCCCAGGGCCCCCAGGGCCCCCAGGGCCAGCAGGGGGGCCCCTAGGGGGGCCCCTAGGGGGCCTCTTGGCAGCCCCACCTTATCCGCAGCTTCGCGTTCAACAGACAGAACGTCAAGCGCAACTCCTTCAGAGAGAACAGTAAACAGCAGTCAGCAGACACCTCGGGGCCCCCGAGGTTTACAAGAAAGGGTACAGCCCCCAGGGACCCCAACCTCTGAAGAGGGGGCCCCCGGGGGCCCCCATGAAGGGGGTCCCCGGCGAGAAGATTATATAGAAGAGTCGAAGGCCCCAGGCCTCGGGGGGCAGCACAATGCAGGAGAGAAAGTTGCGACGGGGGGCCCCTCACCGCATGCACACGAAGGAGGGGCCCCAGAGACTGTTGCTGATATCCAGACAGAGTTTCTTGCAGCCTATACTATTACCCCGCTGCACGTTGCTGCTGGAGCAGAAGCAGCAGCAGCAGATGCTGCACCAGACGCTGCAGCACCGGAGGCCGAAGACGCAGCAGCAGGCCCACAAAACGGGGGGACCCAAGCAGCAGCAGCTGCAGCAGCAGCATCAGCTGCGGCTGCTGCTGCTGCAGCAGCAGCAGCAGAAATCTCTTCTTCGTGCTGCACCCCTCATTCAGAGCATACGGCTAAAGAGGGGCCCCCGCAAGACCCTCAGGGGCCCCCAACATCAGCTTCAAGGGGTTCCCTGAGCATGGCGAAGTCTCCTGCTCCAAGTCTGCCGCTGAGCCCTAAACCCTAAACCCTAAACCCTAAACCCTAATAGTGCACTTCCCTGAAGGATGCGGGTGGTAGAGAGAAAATATGAGGAGGGATAGCCACACAGAGACGCTTAGGGGGAGAAACCAAAGCACCTGCTGCTGCTGCTGCTGCTGCTGCTGCTGCTGCTGCTACTGTGTGGAGGCAGAAGAAGCAAGAGAAGTTTGTTGGTTGCTGTATATATCTTTGCTGCCTCCTTAAATGCATTTTGACGTCCACAGTTCATAGACTTAAAACGAATGAGCGTCGAGGTCCGCAGCTTTTAGGGTTTAGGGTTTAGGGTTTAGGGTTTAGGGGTTAGGGTTTGGGTTGTGTTGCTGCAGAATGGAGCCGCGGCATCTTCAGACGGCCTGGGGGTGTATCAGGGCCTCTAAACACCTGTCAATCAGTAGAGCGCTCAACAACCTCCATTAGCTCGTATGCATGCTGCTGCTGCTGCTGCTGTTGCTGCTGTTGCTGCTGTTGCTGCTGCTGCTGTTGATGCTGTTGTTGCTCTTGCTTCACCCCATGCTGCTGCAGCGCTACATTTGCTGCTGCTGCGCTTGCTGCCGCTGCACACGCATCCGTTGGACGATCGTGCTGCTGCTGCACTTGCTGCTGCTGCCGCACTTGCTGCTGCTTCTGCTGCACTTACTGCTGCTGCTGCCGCTGCTGCACTTACTGCTGGAGGTGGAGCTGCTGCGAATTTTACAGGACAACGCAGAGCAAAAGTTTGCTGGGTTCTGAACGGGCGAATGCGGTGAGAAACCCTAAACCCTAAACCCTAGCCGCTTGCCTCCATCCCCCCAGGTTGTAAACCCTAACCGCTCGCCTCCCCTGAAGCCGTCGCTAAACCCTAAACCCTAAACCCTTGTTGTCTGCAGAGAGGAGTCTTCCCTGTGGCGGTGAGGGGCCGCAGCTCGAAGAATGGACAGGCGCTGTCGCCCGTTTGGTGCGTACGAGAAGTTGAAACAGGTAGGGTTTAGGGTTTAGGGTTTAGGGTTTAGGGTTTTGAGCATCCAATGTCAGTACCTGCTTTTCCCTTTTGTTTCTGCTGGTTCGGCATATGCGCATGGCGGTCGAGGGTTTGCAAGCTTTCTTCGGGTTTAGGGTTTTTTAGGGTTTAGGGTGTATTAGGGTTTATTAGGGTTTAGGGTTTAGGGTGTCTAAGGGTTTACAAGGGTTTGTTAGGGTTTGCATGCAGGCGACAGCGCGGCTCTATGGTCTGCAACGATATCCCCAAAGGGAGAGTGGTTAGCAGCAGCAGGTCAAACTGGCGTTGTCTTTCTTTGGTCGGTGCCGGGGCCCCGAGTACCGCCGGGGCCCCGTGGGGGCCCCCAGGGTCCTGGGGGGCCCCGTGGGGGCCCCCACTCTGCTGGGGGCCCTCGTGGGGGTCCTCAGGGTTTCGGGGGGCCCCGTGGGGGCCCCCAGTGTCCCGGGGGGCCTCCAGGGCCCCGTGGGGGCCCCCAGGGTACAGGGGGGCCCCCGGGTCCCCGTGGGGGCCCCCAAGGTTCTGGGGTCGGGGGGCCCACAGGCCCCCGTGGGGGCCCCCAAGGTGCCGGGGGGCCCCCGGGGCCAGCGAAGAGGGGAATGGGTGGGGGGCCCCCGTCTGAGAAGGCATGTGGTGAATGTTTAAAAGAAACAGTAGGAAGGGTTTCATCTGCTACGACTGAGGGGGCCCCCGGGGGGCCCCCCTCTTGCCCTGTTGAGGGGGGCCCCTCAGGAGAAGAAGATGCAGGAGGACGAGGAAGCTACTGGTTTCTAAGAGAGAGGCCGGACTTATGTTTGACAGGTCATGGTGCCTCAGTTATTTTATTGTGCTGGGCTCCGACTTTGAAGCTCTCTTTGCTTTTATCTGCTTCTCTTGATAAAACTATCCGTCTTTGGAGGCCCTCAAAGGGCCCCGCAGCAATTGCTGTTCTCAGGTGTACAGACTGGCCAACAAGTGCTTCCTTCCATCCTATCTTCAAGGTACTAAACCCTAAACCCTAAACCCTAAACCCTAAATATAGCATGCAAACGGCACTTCATAAGCACAACATAAGCTACGCCGCAAAACACCTTTTCTACTGAAAGGGCTTAGGGTTTAGGGTCTAGGGTTTAGGGTTTGTTGCTTCAGGACGTTATATTCACGGGGTGTCTCGACGCTACTATTCAAGTCTGGCGCCTCCTCTCTACAAGAGCGAATGGGGGCCCCCGGGGGGCCCCCGAGCAATTTGAGTCTCGTATTGTTGAATATCTGAAAGTGCCCGAGTTGGTTACTGCTCTCTCCATCTCCCCCAAGTCAGGGTTTAGGGTTTAGGGTTTAGGGTTTAGGGTTTGGGGTTTGGGGTTTAGGGCTTAGGGTTTAGGGTTTGGGGTTTTGGGTGCCGCGCTCAAAGTAGCAACGCCAGAGCTTGGTGGAGTGCGACACCAGGGAATAAAGTCTAGGGGCTAGGGTTTAGGGTTTAGGGTTTAGGGTTTAGGGTTTAGGGTTTGGGTGTGTATGCAGCGGCGGTATTTTGGCTGTCGGCTTTCGCAATGGTAGCATTTCGTTCTACGACGCGAGGGTGCGTTTGGGGTTTAGGGTTTAGGGTTTAGGGTTTGCTGCTGAACGACTGGACCCAAGTGCCCTTTCAACCGTTGCAGCAGCTTTAGGGTTTAGGGTTTAGGGTTTAGGGTTTAGGGTTTGCGTGCAGACGCTCAAGTTCTGTTCGGAAGTTGACTGCAAAAACCGAAAGGGGAAATTTGCAAAGGGGAGGAAGGTAAGAAGCTAGGGTTTAGGGTTTAGGGTTTAGGGTTTTGGAGGTACAGGGTTTATATTACAAGGTTTAGATTAAAGGGTTTGCTGCGCGAAGAGCCTGCGAATAAGGGCTCGGTGTGTAGTGTTTAGGATGTAGATAATAGGGTTTAGAATCTAGGGTTTAGGGTTTAGGGTTTGTGCAGCTGACGAGTTTGAAGTGGCTTAGGGAATCGGGTTTGGGGTTTAGGGTTTAGGGTTTAGGGTTTAGGGTTTGTTCAGGTGACGAGCTTAGAGTGGCTCCCAGACGGAACATCTCTGCTGGTTGCAACGAACGACTCCCGCATCCGCATCTTTGATGTTTCTGTAAACCCTAAACCCTCATCTAAGCCCTAAACCCTTGTATAGCCCCTTGTAAACCGTAGGGTTTTATGTAAACCCTTCACACCTGTAAATACTTCTTTTGTGGTAGGGAAGGCTGCCCCGTAGCGAACGTAGGGTTTAGGGTTTAGGGTTTAGGGTTTAGGGTTTGGGGTTTCTGCAGAGCCTGACTTGCGTCTACAAATTCAAGGGGCACGTGAACGCGCAAATAATGCTGAAGGCGACCTATACGTAAGAGCGTATTCTCTATTATTTAGGGTTTAGGGTTTAGGGTTTAGGGTTTACTCCAGAGTCAAGTCTTGCGGTAGGCTGTCGCTGCATGCAACCCAGCAATGCGGTGCCGTTATAGAATGAAGGCCCTCGGGTTCCGTACTACCCGTTTAGGGTTTAGGGTTTAGGGTTAGGGTTTAGGGTTTAGGGTTTAGGGTTTAGGGTTTAGGGTTTGGGTGTGCGTACAGTGCAAACGGCTTGGGAGTTGTATGCGGCAGCGAACTGGGCAGAATTTGTTTCTGGAGGGTTGCGGGCCCCACAGGAGAAGTAGCGAACTCAACTAGGTGCGTATACACCTCAGTTTATATATATATTATATATTATATATATATTATATGTACTATATATATTCTTTTGGGGTGTATGTTCACCGAAGTTTCTCTGCTCTTAACCTCCTCTTCTTGTTGCGCCTAGGGCTGAGCGTTAGGGTTTATTAGGGTTTGTTAGGGTTTATTAGGGTTTGTTGGGGTTTATTAGGGTTTAGGGTTTTGAGTGTATCTTCGTGAATAGCCAGCCGAAACACTTTTTGTTCGCCTGTCTTTCTCTTCTCCAAACCCTAAACCCTAAACCCTAAAATTTGAAGCAAAACGCGCAAATCCTAGACCCTTGTGCTTGGCCAGGATACGCGGCAATGAGGGTTTAGGGTTTAGGGTTTATGGTTTAGGGTTTACTAGGGTTTGATGCTTGCTGCAGGACGCGGTTGCAGCAATGGAAGAGAGTTACGAACAATTCTCCTGAAGACTTCAAAGGTAAAATAAGGGTTTAGGGTTTAGGGTTTAGGGTTTAGGGTTTAGGCAGGGTTAGTTGTGCGACTCTTCGAAGGCGTGTACGAGGTTTAGGGTTTGGGACATATGAGTAATCATTCGGGTTTAGGGTTTAGGGTTTAGGGTTTGGGGTTTGGGGTTTGTGCGTTCAGCGTTTGATGAGCTGTTAACGTTTGCTGTTGCTGCTCCTCCAGCGTTTGCTTCTTCTCTTTTGTCTTATTTATCAGTGCACCCTCTTTCTTCTAAGTCGCACTTCTATGCTCAGACGCAGCAAATACAGAAAGCTCAGGGGCACCCCTCCCAGCAGCAGCAGCAGCAGCAGCAGCCGCAGCAGCAGCAGCAGCAGCAGCAGCAGCAGCTGCAGCAGCAGCAGCATCGGTCGGGCATCAGCAGCATCTGCGGAAGCCCCCCTATTAGAAATTCGTTTGCAACTTCGGGTGTAAAAACAAACAAATTCAGAGCACTACTATCTCTCAGAAGACAGAAAGGATATTTAAGACCCTCTGCTACAGGAGCAGCAGCAGCAGCTGCTGCTGCTGCTGCTGCACCGGTAGCAGCAACAGCTGCAGCAGTAAAAGCAAAAGCAGCAGCAGCAGCAGCAACAGCAGCAGCAGCAACAGGAACAACAGCAGCACCCTCTGCCGGCTGTAGCAACACAGAATCATCGCCTGCAGCATCTGCTTCATCATCATCAGCAGCAGCAGCAGCACCAGCGGGAAGAACAGCAACAGCAGCAACAGCAGCATCAGCAGCAGCAGCAGCATCTAGTGCTGCAGATGCTTGTGACTCGGACGACAGCGACTTATGTGCTGCTTCTCTTGCTGCTCTATCTGCTGCTGATTCTTTAGTTGAAAGAAGCGGGGCTTCTAAAACTCTTCCTGAAGGCAGATCTTTCTGCTGGCGTGCGGGCAGAAGGCTGCACTTGGGGCTGCCTCTTAACAGCTACGAACTATGCAAGCAGCAGTATGTCCCAAGGGGGTCTATCACGGTTTGTCAGGGTTTAGGAGGGTTTGTTAGGGTTTATTAGGGTTTATTAGGGTTTATTAGGGTTTATTATGGTTTATTAGGGTTTATGAGGGTTTATGAGGGTTTAGGGTTCGGGGCTCCACATATTGACCCCAAAGCAGCGTCCTCTCACCTTCATGTACCAGAGTTTAGGGTTTAGGGTTTAGGGTTTAGGATGAGGGTAACAGCGTTGGCGGTTCAGAACGGGGGTTGGCTGCTAAGGTTTAGGGTTTAGGGTTTAGGGTTTAGGGTTTTATGTGTGGGTGTTTGTTGTTTAGGTCAGATGCGGCAAACTTGGTTGTGGTTGCTGGAAGCTACACAGGAAAGATTAGGGTTTTTGTGAATCTTGCGGGTCTTCTATATGCAAACCCTAAACCGTAAACCCTAAACCCTAATTTAGGGTTTGTTGCATTTTTAGTGAGGGGGATTATTAAGTCCCCTGTTTTATGCGGCTCCGAATGCGGGGCGGTTTGGCATTTGTTTTTTTGAATTTATTGTTTAGGGTTTAGGGTTTAGGGTTTAGGGTTTAGGGTTTGGTGCTAGATGAACAGCAGCAGCACTAGCCCCAAACCCTAAACCGTAAGCCCTAAACCCTAAACCCTAAACCCTAAGGCAGTCAACTGGTAGATGAGAGGGAGGGGTGCAAGACAACTCTAAACTAAGGTTTTTTCTTCTTGCTGCAGCCTCAAACAAAAACGAAAAGCCCTTCATACAGATAAAAACCCCCCGCATGCTGCTGCTGCATGTATGCAACCCCAAAAGGGTTTAGGGTTTAGGGTTTAGGGTTTAGCGTTTAGGGTTCGGAAGGAACCTCTAGTGGTGGATAGAACAATATCAACAACGAGAGATGAATGCAAACGCAGCAAAACTCTAAACCCTTAACCTCTAGGGTTTAGGGTTTAGGGCTTGGGGCCGAGTCCTAAACCCTCAACTCCTAAAACCCCACCAGCACTTCCTCTCCGGTCGAGGCCTTCAATTTAAGGGTTTAGGGTTTAGGGTTTAGGGTTTAGAGTACAGGTAGCTCCCGCTAGCAATGTTACTGGTGGCGTTCTAGTGCTGCTGCTGCTGCTAGTGCTGCTGCTGCTAGTGCTGCTGCTGCTGCTGCTGCTGCATTTATTTGCCTATTGTTGCTTACGAAGGCACCCAGGGCAGAAGATCTCCCAGCCTTCAAACCCTAAACCCTCGACTACCGATAGATAGTAAAAAGAGGATCCTCAACAGTACAGCAACTGGGAACTGATCAGGGTTTAGGGTTTAGGGTTTGGGGTTCCGCTGAGACTTGACGCACGTAACGAACTCTGAAAATTTAAAGCTGCCAGTTAGGGTTTAGGGTTTAGGGTTTAGGAGGCGGTTATGTGGCTGCACTCCTAAACCCTAAACCCTCGCTGACGGCGAAGCAGTCAGAGGAGTTTGTGAATAGAGGGTCAAAGGAGGTTTGAGGGACCCTAATTAGGGTTTAGGGTTTGAGTTAGGGTTTAGTGTTTTGTGTGTTTGTTGCGATAACCAGCTCAAGGCGGGCATCGATGAATTAGGGTTTAGGGTTTAGGGTTTAGTATTATATAAAGGAGCGGCAGTCGGTGGACTTGCATTATTTTTTTCATTTTTTCTGCTACCCCGCCCTTAAACCTTTGAATTAGGGTTTAGGGTTTAGGGTTTAGGGTTTAGCAGTCTCCTAGAGTACAATCTTGTTTAGTAGGTAGGAATTTATATTGATACTCATGTTCAAGTGCTCTTCTTTCACGTAGAAACCTTGCAGGGGGTATAGGGGGCCCCCCTTCTTCTTGATATTCTCTTTGATTATTATTTCCTATATAGGGCTCAGGAGAAAACCCTAATAAATCGTCAGCAACTAAACCTCCGACTGTCTTTAAAGGATGATCAACGAGCTGATGAAGCCTTTGAAGGGGGCCCCCCCCCCAGTACCCATATCCATATCTTGGGTACCCATACCCGTATGGGGGGGGCCCCCCATAGAATTGAAGATATCTTGAAGGGCTCTCTATATTTAAAATGTCTGATGCAGCATCAGCATCAGATGCTGCTGCAAATGCTGCTGCTTCTTCTTCTGCTGCTCCTGCTGCTGCTGTTGCTGCTGCTGCAGAATGCGGAGGGATCACCCCACTGCCTTCTTTCGAATCAAAGCTGCTCATGCTGCTGCTGTTGCTGCTGCTGCTGCTGCTGCTGCTGCTGTTGAGGAGGGGCCCGTAGTATTGAAAACCCTCAAGGGCCTCCTCTTCATCTTCAGAAGGTAGGATCCCTGTGTTGTCTAGGAAATAGGGTGTCTCCCCCTGCTGCTGCTGCTGCTGCTGCTGCTGCTGCTGCTGCTGCTGCAGTCTTCTTCTAGGCGAGGCTTGTTTAGGCTGGCAGCTTCTCTCTGCAGAGACAAGGGGCTCGGCAAAGGACTTCTGCGGGGTAAATGAAGGTTTGTTTGTTTTCTTTAAGTAGCACCAGCTGCGTCTGAGGTTATATGTATATACACCGCAGCTTTCTGCTGCTGCGCATGCAGCAGCACAAGCAGCAATAGACCCCACAGATCCATCTTCAATTTTCTTTAAGCTTTCCCCCTCGCTGTCTTTACCGAACTGTAAGCACTCAAATGAAGCGCTAACTACAGCTGGTTCTGCTGCTGCTGCTGCTTCTGGTGCTGCTGCTGCTGCTGCTGGTGTTGGTGCTGCTGCTGCTGCAGATCCAGGCACTCCTGCTTCAGCTGCTGCGGTTTCACCTTCGACGGCGTCTGCTGCTGCTTCCTCCTCCTCTGCTTCTGTTGTTGTTGCTGCTGCTTCTGTTGCTGCTGCTGCTTCGGTTGCTGCTGCTGCTTCTGGCTCGGTTGCTGCTGCTGCTGCTTCTTCTGCTGTTGCAGCTACGGTCCCTGTTGCGGCGTCCTGTGTCGGTGTTGCTGCTGCTGCTGCTGCTGCTGAGGGCTCCTCCGCTGCTGCATAGGGAGCAGTATCTGCTTTTGCTGCAGTTGGGGAATCTTCGTTTGATGTTGCTGCTGCAGCTTCTGTGGGGTGTGCTGCTGCAGCTGCTGCTTTGTCCTCAGCAGTCTCTGTTGCTGCTGCTGCATCTGCCGCTGCTGCTTCTGGCGGCGGTGTCTCCGTTTCTGCTGCACCTTCTGCTGCTGCTGTTGCTTCCGTTGCTGCTGCTGCTGAAGGCGGAAGCGCTGCGAGGAGGATGTCTGCTGCCGTTGTTGCTGCTTCTTTTGCTGCAGCGGATGCTTCTTCTGCTGCTGTTGCAGCAGCAGCAGCAACAGCAGCACGTTCAGGTTGAGAGCCGGCAGCCTTGGCTACTGCTGCCGCTGCTTCTGCAGCACTAGTCGCAGCAGCAGCAGCAGCAGCAGCGCTTGCAGCAGCAGCTGCTGCTGCTCGCTCCGCGCGACGAATGGACTCTTGCTGCTGCTGTTGTTGCTGTTCTTGCTGCCTCTGCTTTTCTTCTTCTTGCTTCTGCCTTTGCTGCTGCTGCTCAGCCTGCTGCCGCTGCTTCTCTGCCGCTTGCTGCTTTTCCTGCTGCTGCTGCTGCTGCTGCTGCTGCTGCTTCTCTGCCTGCTGCTGCTGCTGCTCGTGCTGGTGCTGCTGGTATTTCTGGCGGTAGGACTGCTGCTGCTCGCTGTGCTGCTGCTGCGGCTGCTGCTGCTGCTGCTGCTGCTGAGAGCTTTTAATTCTGTCAACAATTGCTTCTTTAAGCTGCAGCACATCTACACCTCTGCCTGATAGCTGCTGCTGCAGCGCAGCAAGTGCTGCTTCTAATCGGTTGTCTCCCAGCGAAGCAGTAAGGCCCTTCTCTAAGAGACTTGCTGCTGCTGCTGTTGCTAGTCGCTGCACTTCCCCTTCGTTTTCCTGCTGCTGCTGCTGCTGCTCCTTTGGTTGCTGCTGCTGCTCCTGCTGCTGCTTCCGCTGTTCCTGCTGCTGCGGCTTCGGGTGTTGCTTTTGTTGCTCCTGCTGCTGCTCCTGCTGCTGCTCCCGCTGCTGCTCCTGCTGCTGCTGCGGCATACCAAAGGAAATAGCTGCTATTTCTGCTGTGAGTTTGTTCACCTCAATGCCTCTTTGCTTCAGCAGCTGCTGCTGCTGCGGCTGCTGCAGGTGAAGCAGCAGCTTGAGGACAGCATCAGCGGTAGGTGGCGATCCTGTGCGCCTCCCCAAGCCATCTAACACCTTAGCAGCAACTTCTCGGGTGTCACTGCAGCAGCAGCAGCAGCAGCAACAGCAACAGCAGCAGCAGCAGCAGCAGCAGTAATAAGAGCAGCACAAGCACCAGCGACGTATACGGACAACAGCAAAACTGCAGGAGGGATCGGGAGGTGTTTAGAGTGAAACATTTCCAACTACAGGGTATAGGGTTTAGGGTTTAGGGTTTAGGGTTTAGGGTATAGGGTTTAGGGTTTAGGGTTTAGGGTTTAGGGTTTACGGTGGATGAGACGGGCGAGGCCCTGGAGTTGCTGGGGCGGCGTTCACAGTCAATAGAAAAAGAAGAATAAGGGGGCAGCAGCCCCCTAGCAAGTGTCTGTGCGAAGGGAACATGGCTGGAAAAACCCTAAACCCTAAACCCTAAACCCTAAACCCTGACTCAACAAACGGGAGACTGAGACAAAGGAAATACAGTGAAACCCCTAAACCCCAATCAAAAGGGAGTAAGAAAAAGAAAAAATAGGGCTAGGGTTTAGGGTTTTCCTGTGGAAGATGCAGCGCCTCCGCAGATAGGTAGGGAAGAGTAAACCCTAGACCCTAAACCATAAACCCTAAACCCTAGAAATGAGATAGACAGAGACAAAGCCAGAAAGAACGAAATAAATGGGGCGAAACAACTATTAATAAGCGACAATAATATACAAGCCTTCTGAGTTCTGATTTCAGGGTTTAGGGTTTAGGGTTTAGGGTTTAGGGTTTAGCGGTCAGGGCCCGGGGCGCGGAGGTGACCGGACAACTGAGGGTTTAGGGTTTGCAGCGACAACACCACCCTAAACCCTAAACCCTAAACCCCAAACTTTAAAATCAAAAAATAAATGATATATTTATGGCTTTCAACATGAGAATCTCAAACAATAAAGTACAAACTCTAAACCCTAAACCCTAAACCCTAAACCCTAGAGGCAAAAGCGCGTGCCGCGTCGCCGACCGCAACGCCCACGGAAAAACCCTAAACCCTAAACCTTAAACCCTAAACCCTAAACCCTAAACCCTGGACTCTAGCTTGAATGGCCAACATTGAGTCGCGTCCCTTGAATAGAAAACTGAAAACCCTAAACCCTAAACCCTAAACCCTAAACCCTCGGCGTGACCGCCAAACTACAACAGTAGTTATAGAGTACAGCTTCAATAACAAACCCTAAACCCTAGGCTTTAATCTCTGATAGACTGAAACCGCCTAACACTAGACCCTAAACCCTAAACCCTAAACCCTAAACCACCACTACGAAGCCCCAGTGGAAGAAGGCTTCACAGGCTCTGCTTCTTCTGTTCAAACGCCCTACAGCTAAAATATAAATTTATTTGGGGTGTATGCGCAGATCACAGCCTTCATCCAGCTACCGCAATAAAACCCTAAACCCTAAACCTTAAACCTTAAACCCTAGCTCTTTGTTTTGCTTGAAATAACTGAAAAGATGTTGAAGAAATATCTTCGGAGCAGAGTTCGCCCCAAACGTGGGGCTACAGCAGCTGCAGGAATAACTTAGTCTATTTACAGCCCTGGAAACCCTAAACCCTAAACTCTAAACCCTAAACCCTAAACCCTCACTGCAGAGCTGAAGGCAACTTCCTTTTGACCCCAGCAGGCACGGTCTATATATATATATATATATATTATATATATATATATACATATATATAACTAAGGGTTTAGGGTTTAGGGTTTAGGGTTTGGGGTTTAGGGTTTAGGGTTTAGGGTTTAGGGTTTAGGGTTTAGGGTTTAGAGAACGAGTTTGGTGACTGCAGAAGGGGGTTCAATGCCCATTCCTCTCCACCCCGCTCCGAGTGTATGTTTAGCTTGCTGAGTTTGAAGAGTTTGTTCAAGTGTATTAAAGACAGTAGAGCATATAGCTTGCATTTCTTTATCAAACTCCTTTACTAGCTGCTGCACATACACCAGAGGCTGCTGCAGCTGCTGCTGCAGCGCTGCCACAACTGTTCGAGACATTTCTGTAAACTCTTCCTGCAGCCTGACCCCACTCAACTGCGCTTCTGTACACAAATATAAATATATATATATATATATATTATAATATGTATATATATATGTATATAGATTATAATACGTATATACTGTTAATAATAACAATAATATAATAATAACAATAACGAAAATAATAATAATAATAATAATAATAGTAATAATAATAATAATAATAACAATAATATAGTAATAAAAAATAATAATAATAATAACAACAACAACAACAACAACAACAATAATAATAATAATAATAATAATAATAAACACATGTTGCATATAAACATCATTGTAAAAATTGTTTAGAGAAAATGCAGAGAATTGGGAAGAGGCAAAAACAGAAGAAAAGACAAATAAAAGGATATTAAAAATAAGCAAAAACCCTAAACCCTAAACCCTAAACCCTAAACCCTAAACCCTCAACCCTAAACCCTAAACCTTTAGTCCTAGGCGGTGAAGGCACCAAGAGAGGCGAACAAGAAAGGCACGCAAACTCTAAACCCTAAACCCTAAACCCTAAACCCTAAACGCTAAACCCTAAACCCTAAACCCTAAACCCCAAATCCTAGAGTAAATACCTTTCATTGCTTGCTCGGTATCGGCGACCTCGTTATCTATTTGTTTGGTGATGTGTCTCTGTTGCAGCAGAAGCTGCTGCTGGAGCTGCTGCTGCTGTTGCAGCTGCTGCTGCAGCAGTTTGCTCTCGGTTGCTTCTTGCTGCTGCTGCTCTTTATACTGTCTCTCAAGCTCTTCTGCTGCTCCTCTTCGCCACCTCTCTTTGTTTCTTAGACCGTTTTTTAGTGTTTGCAGCTGCAGCACAAATAAATATAAACCCAGACATACAGCTGCAGCAGCAGCAGCAGCAGCAGTTGCTGCTGCTGCTGCTGCTGCTGTTGGAAGAGCCGCTGTAGCTGTTGCCCCGGTACATCCTGCTGCAGCAGCAGCAGCAAGTGCTTCTGCTGCTTCTCTGTTCCTGCAGCAACACCAGCAGCAGCGTTGCTGCTGCTGGTGTTGCTGTGCTGCAGGCAGCAGCAGCACGTACTGCTGGCTGCCTTTCTGTTTCTTTCACTCTAATCCGTAAACCCTAAACCCTAAACCCTAAACCCTAACACTATACCCTAAATCCTATCCCTCTCCCCCAAACCCTTGACGGTAAGCAGCGTTTTGCGTTTGAGGTATCCGTATTGCGCTTCGTTTGCTCGGACGTTTAGGGTTTAGGGTTTAGGGTTTAGGGTTTAGGGTTTAGGGTTTATCTTGCCTTGTTCTCTAGAATGCGTTGCTGCCTGAGGGCCTCAAAGGTTTGTTCTTGCCTATATATATACTGTCTTTCTTTGCTTAAGAGGGTTTGCATTAAATCTTCATTTGCTGCTTTAAGCTGCGCCTCCAGCTCAGCCTTTGTGGGGCCCTTCTTCGCAGCTTTCTTAGACATCCTAAACCCTAAACCCTAAACCTTAAACCCTAAAATTTAGCCGCTTTTAGTTCTAGCCTCGAACTCAACGGCTCTATACATCAAACCCTAAACCCTAAACCCTAAACAACCCTGAAATTTACTGCCCCTAATGCTGCTCTTTATAGAATATGAGTTGCAGGAATACTGCGTGCCAGAAAGGTAAGGGTTTAGGGTTTAGGGTTTAGGGTTTAGGGTTTGTAGATTAGGCATGCCCGAAGCACAAAATATATTATTCTTTTTAATTAATATAATTAATTCAAATATTAATTAACTCCAAACATTTGAAAGAAGGCTACGGGTGCGAAGCGCAAGAAAGGCATGCAGCCGACAGCTCACCAGGGCCCCCCTAAACCCTAAACCCTAAACCCTAAACCCTAAACCCTAAACCCTAAACCCTAAACCCTGATGCGACAGCTCTAGACCCTGAACAAAGCCTAAAACTATCGAGACAAGTATTAAATTATACTTAATTAATTTTTTCTTTTTTAAATCTGCAAACACTGCAAAAGACAATCACTAGGCGTCTTTACCGCGAGCAGCCTGTCAAGCCCTAAACCCTAAACCCTAAACCCTAAACCCTAAACCCTGATTTTTGCATCTGCTTCCCTGAACTCGAATCTTTATTTTTTATTTTTCTTTTTTGTTGTTGTTAAGGTTGTGAAGAAAACAGCGAATGCTGCAGCAAGCAGCAAACCCCCTTAGAGCCTGGGGGCCCCTCTGGGGGCCCCTGAGGGTCTCCCTACGTCTTACACTTTTTGAGGGGGCCCCTGGGGCTCTATCAGATCGTCGAGGTTATATGGGGGCCCGCAGATGGCCTGGAAGCAGCAGCAGCAGCAGCAGCAGCAGTAATGACGGCATCAGCAACAGCAGCAGCAGCGGCCGCAAGAACAGCAGCAACACCAGCAGCAGCAGCAGCAGCAGCAGCTTTCCTCCTGCTTCTTTCTCTATCTTTGGTCTTACATCAATGGTAACAGTTAAACCCTCTCCTCCTACTCTAGAAACTATCTCAATAGGGGCCCCCCAAGGGGGCCCCCAGGGGGGCCCCCAGGGGGGCCCCCAGACGTATACACGTGAGGGTGGTATTATATTTTCATTCTTACCGAAGTTAGCATCACAGAAGACGTTTGATAGATCAGCGCGGCTGACTGTACTGCTAAAAGCTCGGCATATCGGGTGTCTGCTGAGGGGGGCCCCCCTGGGGGGCCCCCAAGACGAAGAAGGGGGCCCCCTCGAGGCCCCCTGCGGTTCAGGGTATACGTTAAAGATATCACCACACTCTAGCAAACCATTGACGCATGTTTGCATAGCACTAATGCAGCAACAGCCTGAACCCCTGCAGCATCAGCAGCAGCAGCAGCAACAACAGCAGCAGCAGCAGCAGCAGCAGCAAAGGAAAGCTGTACATTTAGTTGCATGCACAAGAGGAGAATGGAACTCGCTGCAGCTGCTGCTGCAGCAATCGCTCCCTCTTTTGTTTAACTGGAATAGAGAGGCGCTGCAAGCAGCAGCAGCAGCAGCAGAAGAAGAGACAAACCCTAACCCTAACCTTTAAAAACCCTAAACCCTAACATCAGCAGCATTAGCGTTTAGGGTTTAGGGTTTAGGGCTTCTTGTTCTCTTGTTTGCTCTTACAGTTTGTTAATTGATTAAATGCGAGAAGAAATTTAAGTCCGAGACAAACGCAAACAAAGCAGAGGCCCTGTCTCTGTTAGAGAGAAACGGGGTGTACGTACACCTCAACCTCTTTTTCTTTTATTTACTTCTTTTATTCTATTTTATTTTATTTTATTTTTCCTATCAAACTCCAGCAATTCATTATACAAACACGAACGAAATATATATATTTATATATATATATATTTATATATGCATGTGTATATACATATTAGAGTATATCTAGTGTATATATATGTATATTTATATTTTTGTACATATATATATATATATATGCAGAACTGCATATATGCAACTACACACTTGCAGATATATATATAT